GGGGGAGAGAGGGGGTTTTGGAAAAAAAAAGAAAATCAATTTAGCGAGGGTTTTTTAGCCTAGGTAAAATCGGGTCAGTTTTAATCTATTTTTATCCAAACAAAATTCTTTCATAAATATGTTCAAACTTGACCCCGTTTTTGGAGGTTGTCAAACAGGCTATAAGGGGCTGTTTGGTAAGTGTACTTAAAATTGGTCCTAGCTTGATAAAGAATCATATTAGGATTTAAGCTGATTTTGTTAGATCAATTTTTTTTTTGTCTTAAGCTAGTTTTGTTTTCTTCATTTTCTCAGGGTCCTAAATTATCTTAGATTAAATTGTTTTCTAAGGGAAATTGTCAAAATGACACTAAGACTATCTCCAGCAGGAGTCGAAATTTTAACCTTCTCTATCTCCAGCAGGAGTCGAAATTTTAACCTTCTCTCTCCTGCCATATCACTTTATTCCCCCTCCACATAATTCAATAATCTCCATTTTCTATCATCTCTACAGCAGGAGTTTTTTCAAAAGATTTTTACTTTATTTGGGACCCACTATAACCCCATCATTCCAACATATATACCCCACCTTATTTATTCATTTCTTTTTCTTATTTCATATATATTACTACTACTACTATTATTATTACTAATATAACTCATTTATTTATAGACTAATCTCCAAATTACACAAGACTAATCTCTATTTATAGAGCTCAAAAAATAAAAATTATTGCTATAAAAATTATCAAATTACACAAGACTAATCTCTATTTATAGAGCTCAAAAAATAAAAATTATTGCTATAAAAATTATAAATTAATTCCTAGTATTTATCTCCTATTTATAGAGCTCAAAAAATAAAAATTATTGCTATAAAAATTATAAATTAATTCCTAGTATTTATCTCTCAAAATATCATTTAAAAATTAGGAGTAAAACAAAAATCACCAACCAATCAAGCCTTGACACATGGCACATTGCATGGGATGATCACTATTCACGGGACCCACGCGCTCATAAAAACCAGGGGTGAAATATTCACCCCTTGGGTTCCGGTTTTCCATTTCACCACATTAAAAGCCACCTGTTGGAGCAAAAAAAACCCCCAAATATCTCCTGTTGGAGATAGTCTAAGAAACGTTTCTACTTTGGTCTTTTTCCTGATAGTAACTTTTAAATCAAGAGTATTTTTAAATTATCCTTCAAATTATCATATTGTTTTTTTTTGCAATTAGAAGCAGACCCACTTAGCCAAAAAAGGAAAAAAAAATTCCTCCCATATTTTAAGATAGACTAATAAACGTTTTTTTTCCCATGTAGATTTCTATAATTGGAACAGGGTAAAACTTCGGTATTGTGATGGTGCTTCATTTGGTGGTGATTCAGAATATAAAAATGGTGTAAGTGCATTCCATGAGGACTTTGTTTTAAAAGCTTACTAGCTTTTAGTTAGCTTTTTATATCTACATGTTTGATAAAAAAAGCAAATAAGTTAGCTTATAAGCCTCACTTTAAAAAGCTATTATGCTCAAAATTTTTAAAAACTAGCCTATAAACTCAACTAAATAAGCTAAGTTTTAACAAAAAAAAGTTATTGTTCTACCAAATAATTTTTGTAGCATTTTTATCATAAAAGTCAAAAGCCATTCAAAAGCTAGAATAACCTATAAGCTTCAAAAAATAAGCCCTCCAAAACACCCTCTAAAGATCAAACAGTTTCACTACAAGTACAAATATTAACCTCTAATTATTAAGACTTTAATTATTTCCTAAGAAAATTATTATAAGATTATCTTGCTCTAGGAAATATTAACCATTTATTGCACTTTCCTGTTCATCTTAAATTTTCGGTAACTGACATGAAAAAACTACTTAACTGATAGTTATTTGAGAAGTAGGTCAATATTAATGGAATTTTTTTAAAGAATTTACTCTTTCCGATTCGTCTAAATGTTTGTCGTATAATGTTAATGCAGTCAACAGTTCTCTTCTTCAGAGGCCAAAGAATATGGGATGCTATAATGGTTGATCTGTTCTCAGAAGGATTTCTGCTGGCCCAAAAGGTTAATATATACAGCTTTTATATGTATATATATATATATATATATATATTTCTCATGCTTAAGCAATGAATCCTCTCGTAATTTAACCGTTACATACCAATTTATAGTGAGGAGATAAAAGTACATTGAATATTTGCTCCAATGAGAATGCAATGTGTATGACGAATTGTCTCATAGAGTAATGTAACTCTTCTAAACAGAAGCAGAACTTCAAAATACCTTGATCAGTGCTGATTGCTGAAGCTTCTTGTTGGGACATAATCAATATCTTTCCTCTATTCCTATTGTGCTTTACTTGATGCGCAATTTGGATCAACAACATCAAAGATCATATTCTCTTATTGTTATTATCATTATTTCTTTTTGGGTGTTCCAAGATGCAGGATATTTCCCTTTTGAAAATAGTTTAATTTTTCCATGAACGAACAAACATATCACGATTGATTGTTGTGTGGTCTCTATAACCACTTATGTTACCTAGGTACTTCTAATCTGAAGCCATACCCGTGCCCAACATGTACTTACACCTAAACTCCTTGGACATTATTTGCATAAATGCATGCATTTATTCGGGCATGTATTCAATTATACAATGCATGTCTTATTTTAAAGCATTTGCCATACATTTTGGGGACATATATCCCACACTTTGCGCCCACTTATGGAAACTTGTTGGACATAGGTCAGCTTCTGAATTATGAATTTGAAGGGTCATTTGGATGTCTAGTTCAAAAACTAGTATTTTCCAATTTAAAATCTATATAACTAAAGAAACATAAAGCTGTTATAGGCGTTCTCATCCTTGTTCTCATATAAACATATATATTCATATAACTGTGTCCCCATACCCTAGCTTTTACAAACTTGCCGTGACCGCTCCCTAGATAAACACTATAATGCGCACATATATTATACACATTACTTCACAGGTCAACTAGCATATTTCTTTACTAAGTCTAATATAGTTCCACAATTTCATAGTATGACTTTGAATATTTTTTGATTATCCGCTTTGACTGCAATTTTCATCACAACTTTCAGGTTCATAAGTCTTTTAATGTTTTTTGCTAAACCGTTTTGCTTCTTTCAACTGTTTAGGTATTTCTTTCAGGATGTTCTGCCGGTGGCCTTGCTACATTTCTTCACTGTGATGATCTTGCTCAACTTATCCCACCAAATGCCAGTATCAAGTGCATGAGTGATGCAGGATTTTTCTTAGACGTGTAAGTTAACGTACTGCTTGATTCACACCTTGCTCTCATTGTTATGATAGAAACTTCAAGCCTTCTCAATTTTCCATAAAAAATTGTTTATTGAACTTCTGCAATCTCTATAAATTTTCAGTGGAGACATAACTGGGAACAACACTATAAGTCTCTTCTTCCGTGGTGTAGTCAACTTGCAGGTCAGCTAGCATTCTCCAGTATCAAGTAGATGAATTGAAAATCGAAGTGCATAAAATATTAAGTCTATTTCCGCATGTTAGATAAATCTGCTGCTTATTTGCAATTAAGGATATCTTGCAGGGCGTACAAAAGAATCTACAAGCAATCTGTAGATCTTTTCAGGACTACCTGTATCAGGTTCACATCTGACCTCCTGTTAACTAGTTAACTAGTAATCTTAAATTTGTACCTCTTTTCAGGACTACCCGTATCAGGTTCACAGCTGACTTACTTTTATCTAGTAATCTTAAATTCGGAAGTTAAATTTCAGACAGTGAAGATTTTGTTTCTCCCCACAGTGTTTCTTTCCGCAATATTCATTGCCATACATCAGAACACCTTATTTTATATTGAATTCAGCCTACGATGTATACCAGGTAAGAGTTATCTTATATCCGTGTTCTAAATCAATATGCAAATGGATTTTCGATGGCGTATCCGTATATTGGAAGAATCCTTAATCTAACTAGACTGTGACTTGCTGATGGCGAACAGTTCCATCATATATTTGTGCCACCTTCCGCTGATCCTCGTGGGCATTGGAACCATTGCAAGTTAAACCCAGCAGAATGTACAGGAGATCAGATCAATATCCTCCAAGGTTATTAATTTTATCATCAATCAGTTATTAATTTTCAGCTTTACTTAATATTTTTATTGAATTTTTCAATCAATTAGAAGATTGTGGCTCTAGGTGATCTACTGAAATGACTAATAACTCTTCATTATCCTAACAGTATGTTGCTCAGTTTAATATTCTGTTATGCTCTTTTTACTTGCAGTATATTGTGTTAAATGACCATTAATAATGTACTAATTTCCACTTATTCTGTGAGCTTGTTTTACCCAATATGTTTCCATAGACATGTAATTACAGATTACCACTAATGTTTTTGCGTTTGACTTGTACTCCCTAAATTTTTGCTCAATTATTAAGAGAAAAACAGAAATAAGATATATTGGTTCTATTAAACTGCTTGAAGGCGTCCTATAATTGTTCTGTTATATTGCCTTCTCTTTTTTTATCCCCTTTCATCCCTCCAATGACCTTAAGAACTTATGCGAAGTCCCGTGAAAAGAATATAGCTCTATATTCACTTAGCCGCTCACTATACTTCCACATCCATTCCGAAGAGAATTCTGCCTCTCGGTAATGATCAGCATGTTAACCATTTTCAACTTTCAATTACCTAGTTCAAGTGTGCCTTTTACAGGATTCAGATACAAAATGTTGGCGGCATTGAGACGATTTGAGAACTCTATGAATGGTGGCATGTTCATAAATTCCTGCTTCGCTCATTGCCAAAGTGAGCTTCAAGAGACATGGTTTGCACCTGATTCTCCAAGAGTGCACAATAAGGTCTGTTACTAAGAGTTACTTCAGCTTATTTCAAATGTAATGAAGAAATTTACAATTTATTTTATAAAACTCTGTTAATTGCAGACTATCGCAGAGGTGGTTGGTGATTGGTACTTTGAGAGAAACGTCACTAAGGAAGTGGACTGCCCGTATCCTTGTGATTTGACTTGCCACAACCTTATACCAGCAGCTCAGGTATGACTTATATGGTTTAATTTATAGTAGTCTAAAAAGGAATCACTAGAGCTATATATTAACTTGAGGAATTTATGTCGGTGACAATCTCTTCTGAGAGATGTTGTTTTCCTCCCTATTCACCACCCAAATGAAGGTGTATATTTCTTGGTAAAATTATACGAAGAGCTGAAGTATCTGCGTTTGTGACGTGAAATTAGGTATACAAATGATTCATTATCATGGTCAAGATGTGCTTCCATTTTAAGAATAATGAAGAATCTTCATGAAAGAACTGATATTCTTCTAATAACCATCATAGGTGATCCGCTCTCCCTCCTTTTTGTTCATGTATAGAAATTAAAGTAAGAAACTGTTATGACTAATATTCCCTACCTGACATTTTGTATCAGTTTATCTTAGGTTTTGGAGCTATAAGATTCTTTGGAGAAGACAAAGTAACATCTTGGAAACTTTACCTGTTGAAAGATTTGTTATTTTTGCTGCCATCGGAGAGTTACCTGATGACAACAAGCATGGGGTTTAGCTACATTAATATCAAATAGTTGATTCTTTATACTCATTAGCATTGGGCATGTCTCAATGCTTGTTTCAGATGTTTTACCCCCTTTTGGTAGATGTTCAGAGCTACTAGATACAATACAAAAATCTGAAAAAAATTTACTGAATTCTATCAAATTCCCATTTTGGATTCCAGTGTAAACGAGAGTTTTTTTACCTCTCTTTTCTTGTATGAGCAATGGAAAATGCTCTTTGTTGAGCCGCCTTATCATCGATTTTACAGCAAACCAGATATGGGATTCATGAAACCTACAACTTCGCAGGGTCATGTTTATGAATTTTTTTAATGAATGAAAGCAATATAAGAGGCATGGAATCTGCATTTGCTTTGGGATTGGTAGGAAGTTTAGCCTATCCAATGAAGCTTTTTAAATGGCCACTAAATGTTATGTCAAGAAAGCTTGATATTTAACTGATTCTTTGGGAGTTGAGAACCAAATTGAGCTTCTATGTGAATCTGCACTAAAAAAAATGTTCAACATTCAAATTACTACGAGGAGGAAGAGGGAAATGAATGAAGCTGAAAGAATGCAGCAAATGCGTTCATACCTTGATGCAGGAATTTGAACCCTTACTTAAAAGTGAAGAAATACTTTTTGGGTGGTCTATATAGTTTTGTGAACGTCATGAAGTTTGACTGTCACTGTGTGCGTTTCTTCCCTAAAAACTCAGGTAGCAATACGATAAACCCTTCCTGATTGACTTTCCGTAAACTGTTGCAGTATTAATTTTTTAAAAAAATAAAAATAAAAATAGGGGCCTTGGCTCAATTTACTGATTGTTCCAATATTAATAATTGGTCGAGAGATCACTTACTGAAACCAAGCAATTTCTTCGACCAACTGGATTCTCAAGTCTGCATCATCGAAATGGAATACCATCATCGGAAAATATGTACATGTGGACTGTAAAGATTTTTAGCTGGCCGGTTAATTGGTATTATTTGATGTAATAGTTTTCCCTTCAATTTTGTTGCTCTGAAGGAAGTTGAAATGTTGGCTTGGGAATATTGTTCATTGTAGATAATGTATCTGAGCTTTTGAGGATCAGTGTATCAAAATTTCTGCTGGAATGAAAAGCCTTGTTATTAGGCCTTTGATGCCTCTGTGTTTATGCTAGTCCTTAGAACTTGTGATTCTTGTACTTGGTATCACAATAGTATTATTTTTCTCACTGCAGGGTCCTCGCCGATGCAATGTTGGAGCAAGTGTGACAATAAAGAGGATACGGATGCTCATTTTGCTATTTCTGGTCCTTTTATGAGAATTGGAGGGCTAGTTCTGTTCCTTTTTTTGAGATTTTTTTTTTTTTTTGGGTAAATTGTTGTTATATTCTAAGCACAGAGAGAAAGTTGTTACTAATTGATCTCTCAAATAATTAGCTTTGAGTTTGATTTTCACCATCAGGAAAGGGACAGCTTGAAGGTTTTTCCCCTTATATCCGATTCATATGTCGTTGAGATTCAGTGATCAGTGACGGAGCCAAGACTTATGGGCAAGTAGCATCGCTAAATTATAAAAAGCGAAGTATAATATTTATAAAACCACTAAAAATAAACTCATTAATACATTACGTCATTCGTGCAACTGTCTTCTGGCTTGTTTGGTGGCTTGTAATTTGAGAGGAAAACTTTGGAAAGTGGTTGAATTGTGGGGTATACATTATTAACTTTGGATCATTTACCTTGTTTTGTTGACAAGGCAAATAGGTCAAGGGACATCCAAAAAGCTTATGTGGCTCTATTAGTAAATTTCTCTAAATTGGAGGGCTTTTAAAGTTACTGCAAAGTTAGGTCTAGATGGATATATATTTTCCTAGATACAATAACTTCCCCACATTTTGCCAAAAAACAACCAAACAGTCCTTACGCCTTATTCGGTACGCGGGAATGAGTGGGAATGGAATGCAATTCCAACTCTTTATTCATGCGTACCAAACACGATGTGTTTTTAGACGCTAGAATTGATATTCCCACTTCTTATCAGTTCTCAATCAAACACGATGCGTACCAAACTTTATATGGGAATTGTCATTCCCAACCATTTAACAAGAAATTGATATTCCCACTTAAGTGGTAATAAAATAATCAAATAATTTTCGATTATACCCTCCTTAAAAGATACGAATAGATATAAATTCTCATATGAAAAATTATTTCTATAGAAATAATATCATTAGTTGCTCAAACAAATATACAAATAAATGTAAAATATTAAAATACTATTCTTTGTTCGACTTTGTCCTAGTTCCATCGCGTCTGTAGTAGAAAAAAAATCCCGCCTTCGACTCGACGCAACTCGGTTAGGTAACCATTATTTTTTTTTAAATATGTATGTGTGGCTAATCTTTACCGAAACTTTACAGCAACTTTTTATCTTTTGGCGACTTGATTGTGTAATTTGTTGGCAATTAGATTAGTAAATATTTTATCTTGGGATATGTATGATTTGAAGTTCCATTGAAGCATATATGCCTAATCTTTTCAGTAATTTTTTCAAGCACTCACTGTTGGGAATTTAACGCTGAAACCCCTAATGCAACAGAAACGCAGTATGGAAAAAAGTACACCAAGATTTAACGAGGTTCGGCAACTGCCTACGTCCTCGGGAGCCACACAGATAATTTCTTATTAATCAAACAAGAAATTACAATTTAGGAGCAGATCTCAAAACTGAGATTTCTCAAATAAACACTGTAGCTACAGTGTTAATAATCAAAGGGTATGAACCCTTTCAATTCTCACTTGAGAATAAATACCCCACAATTAAAACCCCTCTTTAGTTTTCTCTCTCTCTCTCTCTCTTCTTAAATCCCCCTTCAATCACTGTTGGAGCTGGGGATTAAGAAACAAAATCGCAGCAGCGATTTTAGGGCAGCCGCCAGAAGAAAAAAGATTGGAGGAAGGGGGAAAATCGCACCGCAGCAGCGAAACCCTAGGAGGCCTTTTTATAGGCGAGGTGGATGAGCTGGCGACAGCCTGTCGCCAGCGGAATAACCTAACGCAAAGATCGGGTTCGCCCAAAAAAAACGCAGAGTTCGGGGGGGGCAGGCGAACGCAGAGCTCGGGGGGGCAGGCGAACGTAGAGCTCGGGGGCAGTCGAACGCAGAGCTGTGGCGACACGCAGAGCTGCGCTGCATGTCGGGGCCTGGACCTCGCGCCTGTCCGCCTGACCAACGCGGAGCTCGCGCTGCGGGTCATCTGAGCTCGTCGGAGCTTCGCCGGAGCTCCTCGCCGGAATTGAGGTTTGATCTACACCCCTTTCTAACAATCTCCCACTTGGAGATCAAACCGCCGTCAATCAGGCTATCTCATCAAGCTCCTCTCCTGTGTGGCTCCGCCCTCATCATCTATGCATGAAGGCCAACTGAAGTTGCGCACAACTCCAGTTTCTGAACTGTCACCGTCTTTGTTAACATGTCTGCTGGATTCTTACTTCCTGGAATCTTTTCCAGTTTCAACACGTCATCTTCCAACAGGGATCTGATGAAGTGGTACCGAAGCGCAATATGCTTCGTTCTAGAATGAAATGCTGAATTCTTCGCCAAGTGTATCGCACTCTGGCTATCACTGTGCAAAACATTCTTCTCCTGTTTGAATCCCAGCTCTGTCAACAAACCTTGAAGCCATATCATCTCTTTACTGGCTTCAGTCACTGCAACATACTCAGCTTCTGTAGTGGATAGGGTAACGATCTTCTGTACCTGTGACATCCAACTAACAGCTGTAGTTCCAACGGTGAATACATAGCCGGTGGTGCTTCTTCGGTGATCAACTTCGCCGCCGAAGTCTGCATCTACGTACCCTTGCACTTCTACCTCTCCCTTACCAAAGTGCAAACACTTCTGTGTGGTGCCTCGTAGATATCTCAGAATCCACTTGACCGCTTCCCAATGAGCTTTTCCTGGATTCGACATAAACCGGCTGACCACTCCCACTGCATGGCCAATATCTGGTCTCGTACAGACCATTGCGTACATCAAACTTCCGATAGCTGAGGCGTAAGGAACCTGAGCCATACTCTCTTTCTCTTCTTCTGACTGAGGAGACTGATCCTTCGATAGACGAAAATGGTTGGCCAAATGTGTGCTCACAGGCTTGGCGTCGCCCATGTTGAATCTCTGCAAAACACGGTTGATGTACTCCGTCTGAGATAACTGCAAGAGACCTCTCTTCTTATCTCTCGTGATTTGCATTCCAAGGATCTTCTTCGCTGGACCCAAGTCCTTCATGTCAAACTCCTTTGACAGCTGCTGCTTCAAACTCTTGATATCCTCCATATCTGCTCCTGCAACCAACATATCATCAACATACAGCAGTAGGATGATATAGCTGGACTGATATCTTTTGAAGTAGCAACAGTGGTCGGCGTTGCACTTCTGGAAACCTTCCTTGTGCATGAAGCCGTCAAACTTCTTGTACCACTGTCTTGGGGCTTGTTTCAGGCCATACAAGCTCTTCTTGAGTCTGCACACCAGGTTCTTCTTCTTTTCTTCTGAGAAACCTTCTGGCTGGTGCATGTATATCTCCTCTTCTAGATCTCCGTGAAGAAACGCCGTCTTCACGTCTAACTGCTCGAGATGAAGATCTTCAATTGTTACAATACTCATCACGGTCCTGATAGTATTTAGCTTCACCACGGGAGCGAAAATATCGGTGTAGTCAATTCCTTCCTTCTGCTGGAAACCTTTGACAACTAGCCGGGCCTTATATCTTCTGGAACCATCTTGCTCCTCTTTCACCCGGTACACCCATTTGTTGTGGAGTGTCTTCTTACCCGTGGGCAACTCAGCTAGTTCCTACGTCTGGTTTGATATGAGAGACTTCATCTCATCTTTCATTGCAAGCTCCCACTTGCTCGCATCTCCACACTGACAAGCTTCATCAAAGCTTTCAGGCTCCCCACCATCTGTCAACAACAGATAGTTCATGTATCTCCTGTTGGGTACAGGAGGACGAGAAGATCTTCTTAATATCGGAGCTGGTGCGTCGGGCTCCTGCGCACCATCTTGTCCAACAGGCTCTTCTTGCTGAGGACGCTCTGCATTGGGTTCTTCCGAGAGGTTACTCGGGACATCATCTGCATCTACAAATATTGACTCGCTCTCTGAGTCATCAGTCTTGTGCATTTCCTTGTACATCACCTTCTCGTTGAATATCACATCTCTGCTCCGGATCACCTTCTTGTTTTCGTTGTCCCAAATGCGGTA